TTTACAGTTGAGGGTGTGGCCGCGGTGAGCGCGAACGAGTCGGTAGTGCTCTCGCACAGTTCGCACACCCATGAACGCGGTCTCAACGAAGTTCACTGCAACAGTGGGAGCGCTGCTACGCCTCGTCCTTTTTGCCGCGGTTACGCTTATAGGTGTTGAAAAAAGTCACGGAGCAACGCATACTTGTGCACGAGTTGTCCTCAACACGCTCCTTGACGCGTGCAATATCCACAGTCAGTGGGTATATTTCCTCATAGAGACGAAGACTGAGTCGAGTTCCGCAATATGAAAGGATACTAAGGTCGTCACATAAGCCTTCCCTGGGAGTAATACAATACGACGGCCCAAGTGTGAAAATCGAGCACTCTTTCGTGACTCAACCTTATAAAATAGATATAAATCAAACCTAACATGAAGCGTCACGCTGCAGGACGTACAGAAAGTCAGTCCTGAATGAAAGATTTGGAGCTAGCCAGAGATACATATTACAAAAGGTTTCCTGCATATTCAATTGATGTTTTCTCTTCGTAAGGCAGTAGCATTACGAATACATATTCCAGGACTCTACCTTTACTTGACGGCGAAACAACCCGGTTCTTCAGAGCTCAGCCCACATACAAAAACTATGTTCGAAAAAGCTCTCGATCAACTCAGCTTCAGAACACTTACGGCAAGTTCATAGAAATAGATATCGTATTTCAGAAAAGTCACCGAGGTGACCAGTGTCTAGGCCCATGTCACAATGAACAAAGTTGTTTTGCTATGAGATTAGCTAAATAATTTGCACCTGTGGCATTTACCTCTTTCAGACCCCAATAAAATTCACGGTGCTCCCATATATGAAGGTAAAGGTCGGGCTCAGCGCGCGCTAGAGGAGTAATTCCCGTGCCCGGAGGTTGTACGTGGGTAGCTGCACACATTGCAGCAACTCCACCTTGAAAAACGTCGTTAGGCCCCCGGGGCCGTCGGTTTCAATCCGGGACCGCCTCGTCAATCCGGACCGCCCACCTCCGGAAGTGGCCCACGGCCGGAAGTGGTGCGTGGCTGGCATAACGTGTGAAATCAGCTAGGTTGATTGCCGTATCAACCGATAGAACGACTGACATCTCCAGAAAACTTGTTTGTACGTGCCTCTTTCCCAAGCCAGCCTCCTTCACTGCTAGTGGGAAAGAGGTTTTGTTAACGGCCTTGTCGACGGTTTTTCTCAGTTTTTTCTCCACTGTCGTTCCACTTCGCATCTCTATACTCAGTTTCAATCGCCATAATACCCCCTTATTGAGCCCGACTTTTGCCTTTAATTATGTGGGTCGTTGCTCCAGACTGAGCGCCTGAACATTTCCCAGACTTATAACATGAATGTTCAATTTGACATGTTTAACACTTGCTAGACTTCCTTAGAATTTCAGTAGAAAGGAAGAATCCCGAAGAAATGACTTCATGATACTTGGATGGACCACCCCGCCCACAGCTAGTCCTTTTCCTTCTGTTCAGCCCCTTTACAATGCAAAAGATCCCAGATATTACCATCAACTTTTGGATAACAGCACTGCCGTTGAGCTGTGCTGATTGCTCTAAAAACTTTAATGTTCAGGAACGGTCATTAACTGAAGTGACCGACTTGCAAGAAAGTTTCTGCTGTGAGTTTAAACGGCCTGGTGACTATGGATCGGACTTCCAACGTGAGGTATGGTCGTCAATCACATAACAATCCTCACAAAGCCTACCACACCTAGGAACAATTCTAGTACGCGGCTTCGAGTCAGTAGCGGCAATACGAGTAGAGTAAACTTTATATGGGGTTGAAAGGGACGTTACAGAAACGCGGAGGGCAAAAAAACCCCATCCTTCGCCGACTGGTAAATATTAAAACCACTTTCGATCCCCTCCCTTCCCAACTCCTCCTCCCCTCCGCAGCTGCCGATCGAGGGCGGGAACCTCCCTTTTCCTCAGTGAGCCTTCCGCAACTATGAGATGATCCTTTTGTGAAGAGGACGCGTGTGCACGAAATGGGTATCTGGTATAGCACAGGGTCCAGTCGCAATGATAACTGCCTATTAGAATGAAAGCTCTACACTGAACCGAACATGGGAATCGCTACTTGGTTTCATCTCTCCCTCTACCTCTTTCCCTCCTCCCCGTCTCCCCCCCCTTCTCTTCATATGCTTATTCGAAGATTGTGTCTTAACACGGTCATAATATCACACTAGAATGACACCTCATTAGTGATTTTGACCTCAATTTCATTAGAAAACAGTTTCCCTCCCTCGTCTCCCCGTCCCCTTCCGGTTCAGTCCGCGAAAGAAAATTGTGCAGGTGGATAGAATTCTGATAAAGGAAACTGTTTGTTAATGAGCATCTGTCAAGGGTGGTTGGAACGCGTCACTAGAATACAACAATCTCACGCTGTCGTGTCCAGTCGAGAAGGGCTGCCATCATGAGGAATTTGAAGGATGTCTAACGAGAATACCACAGAAAAAACGTCATTTCATCCTTGTGAGTGTTATTCATTCTCAAATGGGGAACAATCGATGCATGAATTTTGCTTGGAGGTCACCTCTGCCTTGGGACTTGCGTGTGGTCTGGCAGCTCTGATCATCACACCTTGCATCTACGCTTCATTCGAGGTGAAGTCACTTTTATGCAACTTCCATAGTACCAAGCTTTCAAATGAAGAAAATTAGGGAAACAGCGACTGATGATCGAACATCGATTGTTATGTGATAGCTTTCTGGTTGTGAACCGGATGCCGATAGGTCGCCCATAGCAAGAATGTGATCACAACCTAAAAGGTTCGGAAGAGCCGCTTTCATGAATTTGACAAATGGTAACGGCGACGAAAGAGTTGTATATTGGGGTTGAAGGATGCCGTTCCGTTGAGGTGATCCCAGACGGTGTAGTAGTAAACTGGTAGCAATGGGGGATGCTGAAGTTTTGAAGGGTCGACTTTCTTAGGTTGATGTTCCTCTGGTCCGTCATCAGAAGTGATACTACACGCCTTGTGAAGCTGGACTCCATTCCGCTTATAGAATCCGCTGAGCGCAAGAAACTGAATGGAGCGGCTGTAAAGGCGAAAGGCGCTCTAGGCAGGACTATTAAAATTGCCGCACCAGGATATAGCTAGTTTAAGGGTCGGACGTTTACTTAACTATCAAGGTACCAGGATAAAGCGATGAGTTTCAGTACGATCGACGGCTAGCTCGAGCAGGGCACATACGGGCATGGCGGACACAAATCGATCTGGAACTTGAGCATGAGCGTCAAGAAGATGACTCTGCTGACGAGAAAAAGCGATAAGAAGCAGCAGTACTTAATTGGACAGCTGAAAGAACAGAAAAAGAATTTCGTTGAATGTCGAACGCTAATTCTGGAGCCGTTGGAGCCGAAAGCTCCCACAGATGTGGGGTCGTCGGAGCGGGATGATGGCGATGTTCCTAATAAAACGAAACGCGAAAAGGAGCCCGAAATTCGTCACGGTATATGGATAGTGCCGACAGCCTGAGCATCGGATCCCCGCCGATGGAACAAAAGAACTCGCTGGAGGCAGGAAAACACCACGACAAAATTCCATACCTAAAATCATTCCGAGAAACATGAGAGGAACCGGTTCATCGAAAAAAATTAGAGCACACTCTTCTCCAGTCACTCAGCCGCTTCTCGAGGAGAACCGAGCATCTCCTTCGGCAAAGCAGCCACGAACCGACATCAAAGAATCTTCTACTCCTGGACAGTCTGCTGAGAAAAAAGCAACGTCACCTAAATCATCGTCAGCGAAGAAGAAACAATCGATCCTAATTCCTAGAGAATTTGATAAGGATCGATCAGCCGAGCTTTTCTAGCGGCCGAGATGACAATCCACCTAGTTACCGTTATAACGACGCATACCTTGGGTCCGTCAAATGGCTTATTTTTCATCGCTGATGGCAATCTTTTATAACATAGACTCAGATTTTCCACTAAAAATGTTTCTTATGTAACATTCCCTTTGAATAAAATTTTTCCCATTTGTAATAAATACGGTGAAGCAGTGATGCAACAGAAAAAAATCAACCGTTAGTCAATTCCTGTGAAATCCGCCACGCTCACGACGTCTATGCTTTTGCATACTTATCGCGCTATCAAAACAGTTGAATTAATAGTTTATTAGTTCATGCAAGTGTAGGTATCGAATCCACGAGGAAGTTTTGGAATGGATTGTAGGAGATATGATAGTATGGACCAAATCATCACAGCAAGTTCAGAAAACAAGTACAAAGAAAAACGAGTTTATCAACTGTGCCTAAATGTAGGCTGGTTTCACCAGTATCTTTTTGGTTCGTTCTTCGAAAAAGAAGACAATAGTCTCAGCAACGGTCAGCAATGTTGCACCAACGTAAAGTCCAATCGTACCACCAATTTCAGCTGAAAATGATAAGCACCATCAATGCTTTTGAAAGTTGAAGAACGTGAACACATTCTGTAGACTAGCATTTCGGAACAATCAACGCCTACTTCGCAAAGCTGTCACCAACCGTGCAGAGGTTGTGTAGTTTTAGGTGTATCTTGCACTTCTTCCAGGTGAAACCTTTTAGGAGACCACGATAAGCTTAGAGGTCGAAGAATGGAAAATGTAGCCAATTATAATATGGGGCGGGCCCAAGCGCGGCGGTCTATTTCATAGAGAGGGTATTCCCAGTCACCTACAGGCCACAATGCACGCCCCTGAGAAAGGCCATGCTTCGCCGTCTAACGCAGCCGCTCAGCCAAAGCGAGCGTTAAAAAAAAGGCGGGGGGCTTTTGGAGGTTTGGGATGGCACCGATGAGAGTCATCTAACGCGCAAAACAACGGACAAAAAGGGATGCATCACTCAAGTTCCAGGCCGTCTTTTTGTTCTCTTTTCCTTCATTCCTGCATCACTGACGCTCCTCGATTTCTACTGGCTTGAGTCCTAAGTAATTGCCGATTTCTTCAGACCCACGCCATTTTTCCCAGAAAACGTTTGTCTTGTTCCCCGCAGAGCAGTATGTGCGACCCAAATGTCGTTTTATTATTGCGAAATTTGACCGTCAGTACTCATCGTTTGGATAATGCCGTCCTCTTCAACACGTGTTCGTCACTGTCTATTTTACGAGTTTCGCCTGGGGCACGCAGCAAGAGGAGCCTGTCGGGATATTGTGTGTCTGAAGGACCAGACTCGCTAAATAAGAATATCTATTGAAATTGGTTCGGGAGGCCCGCTAGGGCGACTATAACCCTGAAGACCGACCATGTTTTGCAAACCCAATGGTCGCAGATACTAAACGCATGCAAGAACTTCTTGAAGGCAGCCCGATACCAGTGCCCGTCAGAACTCCCACTTCAGCTCCCTCCTAGCGGCTTTCCAAGGTGAGTTTTTGTTCAGTCACACTTCCTACGTTCTTGACTAGGGGCTGAACAGCTCCGAAGTGGGAATCGGCCGAGGGGATTGCAGCCGTTTCCGACCACGCCCACCCTGCTGGGACTGTTGCTTTAACCCCATTGGCCCCTTGTGGTGCAAATACACATGGGCCACCGCAAATTATCATCTGGCTACTGCCAGGAGGCAGGGGTTGTGAACAAGTGGTAGGTAAAGAAAGTGAAAAGGTTTTTTTAAAAATGATTACTGATACCTAGTAGAAGAAACACGTTGTACTGGGTGACGATCTGTTCCTGTCGATGAAGCCTCTTGGTTGAAATGCAGCAGTAGTACAGCTTGACGTGTAACAGATTAATCCTAAATGATCTCAAGTTAAGTAAGATGTACACAGGAACGAAATGGAAAGAACTGCTATAAGCAATTTCCCAGGTCCTAAGTACGTGCTTCAGATGTTGTGGGCAAGATGTCGTTAGTTTGCCTACTAAGGAGTGGTATGAGAGAAACCGTCAAGAAGCAGTGAAACCAAACCTTTTTAAGAACTCTAATTCAAGAACTTAAAAAAAAACTTTTGACAATGTTTGGAATGTGTTCATGGTAGGACTGATATGAGACCACGAGCCAAATTCTCATTCTGTGATAATTCACGATGTTAAAGGCAATGATTACGAGGGCCTGGTGGTCGTCTTTGTGACTCCTACAATGGAATCCTCCATGCGCAGAGAATTTTTGCTTTTTTCCCGACATGAATATGCCAGTTGTGGTCATCAGAGACAACACAAGAGTTTAATGCCAGAAGAACAGTTCCCGAAGGGAGAAGACTCACGAGAACCACACTCTATGGACGGTCGAAGTTAGGTCGGCTCATGGAAAGATGTGCGCCTTGGGGCGGCCACGTATTAGGCGAACCATTGATAGATCTAATGAAAGCTCTTTGATTGTGGAGATTAGAACAAAACGAACGATAGAAAAGGATGCAGCGGAGGAAAGGTGTGAGATGTTAGTTCCATAGTCAAGCTTGAAGGCATGCCCCAGGATCACATTGGTGTGGCTCTTGTACACGAATGCGAATGTATTGGTGCGAAGTGGGCCGGCAGTAAAGAAAAAAGGAAAAAAACGCTTAGGTTAAGGGCTCACTCACCTTCCTAATCGGCTGTGCTAAGGGAATGAGAGACTAAGCGCGGAGAGGAGAGTATGAGGCGAGAGAGCGCTACAGATGAGAGAGCGCCAGACAACAGCCTGATAAGAAAAAAAAGTCTGCAGCTTGGCAGCTTACTTTGCAAGGCCCAAGCGCTCTTGTCGGTTGGTTTCCGTGCACGGGAACGCCACATTTGTGATTGTCCTCTAGGGGTCTATACTACAGACCGAAGAGAAGCGTTCACACGACCTCTGCCTGGGTTGTGCCTTTAAAAGTGTTTCCAGGGACGGCATTCCGAGAACCAAGTGGAATCGCTTCCCGCCGCCAGCATTTGTGAGATGTACGGCGGGAATTTGAACGCGTAGCAGTCCTTTCGGTTTTTCGAATTTTTTTACCAAAACAAATGCAATTTTTTCTGTTCTTTTCGTTCTTATCGTGAATGATGGGTCTCGAAGCCGTGATTTATGGGCGAGATAGAATCATGATCTTACTGTGGACGATTGCTTTCAACGTCCTTGGTGCAGAGCGGTTGAGAGGCGGTCAAAACCACGCCCCCAGCGCGCTGAGGAGTTTAGCACACCAATCGCATTCACTGCGTCATCAAACCCGAACACACTTCAGTCATCGTAATCACTGCTGACAGCTTATTTTCATCCGGGACAGACTTGCAAGGAACCCGCGACGTCGTTCCAAATACTTTCGCGCAGGAGCTTTGCTTGCCTACATGTTACTCAATTCTACCATGTCTCGTGTAGACTCAGGTCGCCGTTAGAATTGCTACAGAAAAAAAATAAGATGACTACGTAACAACAATATGAAGGTCGACTTACTGGTCGTACTGTGGTGTTGCCGAATAGGACTGAGCGATCTCCACCTGTCGCTGAAGGCGGCTGAGCCATTCGCCGCGTATAAAAGCGGTTTTCTGAATTAGGTTACTTTTAAGTTCACAAAAATTTGAAGCTAGGACACAAACTTCCAAGCCTTCTCTTTGAGCAGACATAAAGCGAGGCATAACCATAAGATTGGAGGCTCACAGTGGAAGTGGAGATGCGGATGCCCAGAATGCCCAGTGGCGAAAAAATCAAGAAATCCGTCAAGAGCGCACAAAATGGACCTTTTCCTTTGCCCGATGGCCTCCGATAATGGGCGAGCTAGCAGCTATAACGATAAGGGGTGGTTTGCACATGTTAAACCGGTACCCGCTATCACTCAAGCAGAGATCAACGTACTCGAAGTGGAATATATCTTATCGAAATGAGCAAGGGTGTCCCCCAACAGGCCCACCGCGCGGCGAAGCAAGAGACGCAGATGCGGCAAAGAGACGAGTTGCAGCGCGTGCTGTGCGATATGAGACGTAGTATGGTACACTCTCTTTAACCTGACGCCTAACCGCTACAGTATGCGCTGCGACTCGTCCCTTTGCCGCGTCTGCGTCTCTTGCTTCGTCCGCGCGGTGGGCCTGTTGGAGGATACCCAAATGAGCAACACCCTGGGGGCGGCACAGGGAGGAGTAGCAGCTCAGAGCGCTGAAACTAGCGCGCCTTTGGCCACGAAAAGGGCACATCACGCCTTCTTAGGCTCTTGACTACGCCTTCCACTGTTTCATGTACTTCTATGCTTGGAAACACACTATACTTTTCTTTCGCCTGAAAGTTACCAAAAGACACGTCTCCAAACGGTGATCTAAGCGATCGTAGTTGGGCTTACAGAGCACATTTGCAAATTTCGCTGTTCCGTAAATTATTCACAATGAGATAAAGGTTTCTTCCTGGATGACTGATGAGAGC